ATTTTACTAACCTCACAAAGCTAGTGTGTGGTGAGCTCAAAATTTGAGCCAGATGGTATTATTCCAGAAGGCACACTCTGAACCTCCATGCCATGGTTCCACCTTCCTGATTAGTTAAGGATGGATATCTCTTATATATTGGCAACTGGAAAAGCAAATGATGGAAGTCTGGTTATTCTATTTCAAAGAAAAGGAAAGAAAGAAAAGGAAAAACAAAAACTCCACATGAATATACATTTGTATGAGGATTTTTTAATTTTATTTTTTATTGATTATGCCATTACAGTTGTTCTATTCCCCCCTTCATTCCCCTCCACCCTACCCCCCATCCCCACCATTACCCCCCCCTTTAGTTTATGACCATGTGTCTCAAGTTCTTTAGATTCTATGTTTCCTATACTATTCTTGCCCCCCATCTATTTTCTATCTACCATCTATGCTACTTATTTTCTGTACCTTCTCCCCCCTTCTCCTCCTCCCACTTCCCTGTTGCTAACCCTCCTTGAGATGTTCATTTCTGTTTCCACTCCTGATCTAGCTGTCCTTTTAGTTTGCTTTTGTTTTAGTTTGCTGTCCTTTCACTGTTCATGTTTTTTTAACTTCTTTTTCTTAGATAAGTCCCTTTAACATTTCATATAATAAGGGCTTGGTGATGATGAACTCCTTGAATTTGATCTTATCTGAGAAGCACTTTATCTGTCCTTCCATTCTAAATGAAAATTTTGCTGGATAGAGTAATCTTGGTTGTAGGTCTTTGGATTTCATGACTTGGAATACCTCTTTCCAGCCCCTTCTTGCCTGTAAGGTCTCTTTTGAGAAATCTGCTGACAGTCTGATGGGAACTCCTTTGTAGATGACTGTCCCCTTAGCTCTTGCTGCTTCTAGGATTCTCTCCTTCATTTTAATCTTGGCTAATGTAATGATGATGTGCCTTGGTGTATTCCTTCTTGGGTCCAACTTCTTTGGGACTCTCTGAACTTTCTGGATTTCCTGGAAGTCTATTTCCTTTGCCAGATTGGGGAAATTCTCCTTTATTATTTGTTCAAATAAGTTTTCCACTGGTGGCTGTGCCTTTCCCCCCTTCTGGTACCCCCTATAATTCAGATGTTGGAACGTTTAAAGATGTCCTGGAGGTTCCTAAGTCTCTCCTCATTTTTTTGAATTCTTGCTTCTTCACTCTTTTCTGTTTGGCCATTATTTGCTTTCTTCTGGTCCACTCCATTGATTTGAGTCCCAGTTTCCTTTTCATCGCTATTGGTTTCCTGTGCAATTCCATTCATTTCAATTAGTTTCGTTTTCATATGTTTGTCTAATTTGTGGCTATAATCAACCAGTTCTGTGAGGATCCTGATGACCAGTGTTTTAAACTGTGCGTCTGAGAGTTTTGCTATTTCTTCATCGCTTAGATTTATAGGCTCTGGGGCTTTGAGATCTTCTTGAGCCATTTTTGGTCTGTTCGCGCTCGTTAAGTATGAGGAGCGGAGCCTTGGACTCCCAGGTCGCTGGGTTGTGACGCTGTATGTGGGGGCGTGGTCAGAGCAGGGAAATGGTGACCCCCTCTGATGTTTCTCACTGCTGGGTGAGGAGCAGAGCCTTAGGTGGTTCACCGGGGCAGGGCCACTCAGGTCGCTGGGTTATGACACTGTATGTGGAGGCGGGGTCAGAGCGGGGAAATGGCAGCACCCTCTGCTGCTGCTCCCCGCTGGGGCCTGCTGGGTCCCGTCTAACCACACACTCCCTCGCTGGTCTATCTGTGCCCGAATACGCGACCACAGTCAAATCTTGGCCCTGCTCCCTCGCTGATTCCCCGTGGTCACTCGCTGGGTCGGTCCACCCATTGCAACCCTGTGCCTAGGTTCTGTGCATCTGAGTCCGTCTGACCAAGTTTTCCTGTGCAATCCCACTCCGCCAGCTGCTGGTTTTGCCCCTCTTACTAGTCAGGCTGAAGAATTTGTTGTTATCAGACTTCCGAAAAGTTCAATTTTCTGTGTTCTGGCTGTGTTTTCTGTTGCTAATATTTAGTTGACTCTAAACTTGGTTGTGTGAGAAAGCACGGCATATCCACCTATGCCTTCATCTTGGCGGAAGTCGCTATATGAGGATTTTAACAGTTTTGGAAGAATATTCCTCAAACTTGTGACACTAATTACTCCAAGATTTAGTGAGAAAGGAGATACTATTAATTTTTATTTCTACACATTTTAATCGTGTGAAGTTATAGATAACACTGGAATACTTTAGTCACTTTTAAAAATATATTTTATTGATTATGCTATTACAGTTGTCCCAAAGTTGCCCTCTTTGGCACCCTACACCCAGTATCCCCCTTCCCTCCAGCAGTCAATCCCCCCTTAGTAAATGTCCATGGGTCATACATATAAGTTCTTTGGCTTCTCCATTTCCTATACTGTTCTTAACCTCCCCCTGGCTGTTTTGTACCACCCAATTATTCTTCTTAATTCTTGGACCTTTCCCCTCATTCTCCCCCTTTCCCCTCCCAGCTGATAACCCTCCAAATGATCTCCATATCTATGATTCTGCTCCTGTTCTGCTTGTTTGCTTAGGGTTTTTTTTTTTTTTTTTTGAGATTCATTTGTTGATAGTTGTGAATTGGTTGCCTTTTTAATGTTGATGGTTTTGATCTTCTTTTTCTTAAATAAGTCCCTTTAACATTTCATGTAATATGGCTTGGTGATGATGAACTCCTTTAGTTTTACCTCGTCTGGGAAGCACTTCATCTGCCCTTCCATTCTAAATAATAGCTTTGCTGGGTAGAGTAATCTAGGTTGTAGGTCCTTGCTTTTCACCACTTTGAATATTTCTTGCCAGTCCCTTCTTGGCTAAAAAGTTTCTTTTGAGAAATCAGCTGACAGTCTTATGGAAACCCTTTTGTAGATGACTCTTCTTTTCTCTTGCTGCTCTGCTCTTGCTCTCTCTCTATCTTTAACCTTTGGCATTTTAATGATGATGTGTCTCAGTGTGGTCCTCTTTGGGTCTAACTTGTTTGGGACTCTCTGTGCTTCTTGGACTTGTATGTCTATTTCCTTCACCAAATTAAGGAACTTTTCTTTCATTATTGTTTCAAATAAGTTTTTAATTCTTGCTCTTCCTCTTCTCTTTCTGGCATCTCTGTGATTCAGATGTTGATACTTTTGGAGATGTTCCAGAAGGTCCATATACTATCCTCATTTTTTTAAATTCTTTTTTCTCCTTTCTGTTCTGGCTGAATGCTTATTCCTTCCTTACGCTCCAAACTATTGATTTGAATCCTGGCTTCCTCCCCTCCATTGAGGGTTCCCTGTAAATTTTTCTTTATTTCACTTTGTGTAACTTTCATTTCTTCTTTTCTGTCTTTGCTGTACTCAGTGAGTTTTTTGAGCATCCTGGTCACCAAGGTTTTGAACTCTGTATCTGATAGGTTGGTTATCTTCTTTGTGTGTAGTTCCTTTTCTGGGGTTTTGTTCTCTTCTTTCATTTGGGCCATATTTCTTTGTGTCCTCAATTAGGTAGCCTCCCTGTGTTTCTGTGTGTTAGGTAGCACTGCTTTGACTCCCTGTATTAGGAGCCTGGTCTGTTGTTGAAAAGACACCTGTAAATTGTGTGTGGCTGAGCCTTAGGTAATCACCAGGGCAGGGCAACCTGCTTCACCATTTTGTAGCTCTGTGTATGTCCCCTCAGAGAGGGGACAGTGCCACTCCCTGGCTTCTGGAGATTTTCCCAGTCTCTCCCCATTTCTAATCATTTCACACACTTCCATGTATGACTGGTACCCTTCCAATTGCTGCCGTGGTGGTGAAGCCCACCACCAGGGTGGTGGGTAGGTTTGTGTATGTTCTAAGTCTATATGTTCTGAGGCCTTTTAGGTGGAGTCTCCTAAAAATCTGGCAGTTTTTTTTGCCACCCCAACTGCCACTGGATTTACAGCCATAAGTTATGGGGATTTATCTTCCTGGTACTGGAACCCTGGGCTGTTCAGTCTGGCCTGGGGCTGGGATTACTCGCTCCCAAGGAATCTCTCCCGATTTTTGTCTACCACGTGTGAATGTGGGACCACCCATTCCCGCCTCCACCTCTCTGTGTCACGCGGCATCTCTGCTCCTCACTGCCTGTCTCTGCAGCTCCGCCCCTCCTACCGTCTGGATGAGTGTGGCTTCTTTAAATCCTTGGTTGTTGGACTTCCATACACCTCGATTTCTGATGGCTCTGGATGTTATTTCTTTTGAGATCTAGTTGTAATTCTTTCTATGGATGCAGGAGAAAGTGAATCGTGTCTACCTATACCTCCATCTCAACCAGTTCACTTTTATCATTTTTTAATCCAATAAAGTGAAGAAAAGGAAAAAAGACCCTAGTGTCTATGTTTAGGTTCATTATTTTTTTGAGAGTTAACATTTAATAAGTAGATAAGGAATTAATAAAACTTGTCCTCTAAGCTTTTACAAAGATGCAAGCCCACGAGGATCTAAGTCATTCACCTTCAGAAGTATCTAGACTCCCATGAAGTGGGTCCCCAGTAAGCACTTGTTCCCTTTTCTTCATGTTTCTCATCCCCACCCTCTCCCACTCGAATAACCAGTGCTGCACTCACAAAAGCAGTCTGATTTCCCCTTTTCCAGTCTCTCAGATGACTTTGGCGACACTAGTCCCTGGCGTGGAGAATGAGCTCCTAACACAATTGGCTTCACCGCGGCAGGGTGTAAGCCGAAAGCCCTGCATTTAGAATCATACACAGTGATTATGGAAATACAAATGGTCCATGTTTCTGGAGTATCTGCTGTTTTATAGATTCATAGGTATGAATCTTAATAGGATATAGAATGATATATATGACATTTCAGCAGTGTGAAGATGCGAAACTCTGTGCCTTACCTCAGGCAAGAATCAAATATCTTTCACATAAGGTTATTCCATGGAATTGGTATTTGTATATATTGAGAACTTTACTTCAGTCAACAGTTTTAAACAGTGGGTTTCACGAATGTTTTCATGCCTTTCCTCAGGTTCCATTTCATGTGTCGCAGCAATCTATATTCGATCTGGAGAGACTCTTCGATCTTGCTAACGGTTGTATCATATCAGGAGGGAGCCTTTTCAACTGGATTGTGTCCATTATCCCCTGAGCATTCTTTACACGTTAACCTTGTGAAGGATTTCATTGTTATTGTTTTTCCTGGTTGAAATGTTTTGAAACTGGCCTCTTATAACAAACAAAATAAAGTTGTTTTCTTATGCAAGCTAACATTTCCTTAAAAACCATAGTTTTGAACACTGTTTTACATTGCATTTGGATTAAATGCCAACGCTGTTGCTTTAAGGTGTTTTATAGTACTATTCACAGAGAACATGTGTGTGCAGCCCAACTGTTCCTGTGTTTATATGTAATAGTATCCGTTTTGATTGTCTTTAGATGGATCCATATCGCAAAATTGATTTAAGCCAGTGGTTTTCAAGTTGGGCGGTGGCGGGATTTCACATCTAGGGTGGGAGTCTCTGAAGGCAGTTTCAGTTGTAGCTGGAAGGACAATGCTACTGGCATCCAGTGGGTAGAAGCCAGGGATGCCGAGAAGTTTCCTAGAATCCCCAGGAAAACTCCCTACAACCAAGGTTTATCTGGCCCAAAATGTCAGTAGTGCCAAAGAAGAGAAATTCTGGGTTAAGTCGCAACAGGTGGTGAGTTTAATTTTGTCTATGGCGTTTGGGGAGAAATCTGTGACAAATTAGATCTTTCATATTTTTATACTTCTGAGAGGCAACACTGCACAAATTTTAGAGCACAGGCTATGGAATTATATAGATCTGAGTTTGAACAGTAGCCTCATCCCTTCTAGTTCTGCTACTTTGGGAAAGTAATGAATTGTTTAAGCTGCTGTTCCCTGGCCAGTAAAACGGGAATATTAACAGGATTGCTGTGTGGATTAAATAAGCAAGTTGCTGCAAGCAGGTGCTAACGCAACACCTGAAGTGGTGACGGTCATCGTGCCAGGAGTTTCCATTTCCCTGCCAAGTTGGAAGAGGATCATGCGTTTCTGACGCGTTTTCTTTAGCATCAAAGTTCCAGAGTTTGGAAATAGCCAAACTAGAACTGTCGTAGGATACTCTATAGAGGAAATGAGTCTTGAGCAAGACTTGTAATTTTAAGGATTTTGATGGTTGAAAATTTGCTGGCAGGCAGGATGCTGTAAAAGATCAGAAGCATGAAAATGAATCTGGTGCGTGTGCAGAGGACCTTCCCACTGCCTGTCTGCAGCAGACAGTCACGATAGAAAATAAGAAATTCTAAGGGTGAAACTACAGTGAAGACTGTGGGCTTCATTCATGTGTATAGGGTAGCATTTCTGATGATGAAGGAGAGGAGTGGCAAATTCCACACCCTAGTTGACAATAAATGTAGGGTTAGTGGAAGGAAAGGAATGAATGAATTAAATGAGTGAAGGCCTGGTTTTCAGGGAAAAGAAGTGTGCAGTATTCAACGGTCAGGGAAGAAACGAAGGCAAGGAGACCAATAGGAAAGAACAAAATATTTTCCACTGAATTCAGAAAAATAATTGCCTGATGACTATCTTCTTTCACGAGGTAAAGTTTGGGTCAAACAGAAAAGCCTTTCAGGTAGCGAGGGCTCTCCTGGGGCTCACGAATGTCTCGTTGGGATAGAGAATGCTTTCACGGATTTCGTGTTTCTCCTGGGGGAGTTTAACTTATTACGCAAAGTGTAGCCCCCCAGGGGCAGAAAGGCACGACCGGAGGCAGTGCACTTGGATGTAGGTGCGGACGGATAGATAGCAGGACCAAGGCCATTCACGTCAACCTAATGTTAACTCTCTGGGATGTATTTACACATCCCAGATGTGTGATGTCCATTCTATATCACTATTAAGTTTTTACTAACTGCATGCTTTTTTAAATTTTAAATATTTGGGATATAAAGGCAAATACTGTTCTATAGAACCCTAGAACAATGCCCGACACGTAGTAGATATCTACAATATTTGTTGAATGAGTGAATGAAGGGATGGATGGAGAGAAGGAGGGAAGGCAAGAAGAAAGGGAGGGAGGGAGGGGAATGGATGTGACCCAGGAAGGACGGCACTGTGGGGTTCCAAAAGGAGGGGACGCAAAGGCAGCACCACCTTCACCGTCACTACCTCTGCCATTGTTGTCCACCCTGACCAGGGCAGGCACTGTGTCAGTAAGAACTGTGCACGCACTACCTCCTGTCCTTACAAGAACTATGACCACGATGCACACAGGATGACTGGCCCCATGTTACCAATGTAGCTGTTAAGTAACTACCCCAACGGTCACAGTTAGTTAGGGGGAGAGCCAGGACTTGAATCCCAGCTCTGTCCGACTGGAGAATCTGAGTTCTTTGTCCCCGCTCCATGGTGCTGAGAAATTCCATCGTTAAGGGAGAGGAAGACATAGCCGAGCCTCAAGCTCAAGTTGGAACAATTCTGATCTGTCCTGGGAGCAGATTTTTTTAAATGACTTACAGACCTAAATAGGTGTCCCAAGAAAGCAGGGGATGTCCCCAGTGTTATCCATGCTAGTGTATTGGTTTCTTCTGCAGAAGGAAGTTCCCTGCAAAGTATTACAGACAACATTTCAGCACATTTCCACTTTCTCTCCACTTTTAGAAACTTACAGATGCTGTTTTTGTTGGGTAGTGTTTGGACTGAGAGAAACGCCGCCTCAAACTGCACTTGACCCTGCAGTCACGGTTTCCCCACGTTAAGCCCTCGTTCCAGAAATCGACCATCTCTTCCCCAATACTAATGGCACTCGCTAGAACTGAAGCTTTCTGTGCAAGGCAGCGAGGAAATGGTGATAAACTGGGCAAAAGTAGAAGCAAACAGACAAAAAACTCACCATCTACCAGGATGAAAGATGTGTTTATTTCCAGAAATCCTTCAGGTTTTTTCTAAAGGCCAAATTACACACATTTGCAGCTGCTTTTTTTTTATATGCAGTGTACAGCATTTGAAAATCCTTTATAGCAGACACCTGCAAGTTGTCTATTTGTTTTAATTATAGCAGAGAATGACGAGAGGCACACAGAACGGGGGAGAAGAGGGAAGCAGAAAGGGAGGGAAGCAGGGAGCGGAGAACAGGAGCCTGAGCTGCAGCTCACTGATGGGTAACAAAACCCCGGTGCCTCCCTGTCTTGTATCTTCCTCTGTATCAGTCTCCAGGAGATTGCTTTGAAAACTGATCACCTGCCGGCCATTCAGAGGCTTAAATGCAGTAGTCGGGGAATGTGTAGGCACTTTACACATTTCCCGCTCCTATTGACTGTTCTTCTTCACTGAATTGCAGGGGGCGAATGGTACCTTTCCAGAGAGTACTAGAAACGCGGTTTCTGCCTGTGGGCTGCATTGCCCTTTCAGACCACCTTATATGAATCTGCCTGTCCCAGTTCAGATGACAGACAGGCTCCGGCACTCCTGAAGCACTGCCCGGTGCCTGCTCATTTGGCTCTCACCAGTGCCCTTTGGCACTTAGTTTTGTACTGTTCCATTTTCACAACCCAGTCTTTTAACCTTAGCGTAAGGGTGTCAGTGTGTGAGCTTGCCCCACGTTCCTTGGGCGTTTCTTTAACTTAAGACGGAGTGCATTACTGTTCACTGTGATGTATCTTGGCGCTTTTCTGGGTGAGATAATATCATCATGGTCAATCCATAAAAAATAAAATATTGTTTTTAACTTATTTATTATCTACGTGTGCACAGGATTGGACAAGACCCAAACTGTGAGTTAGGGGAGAAAACAGTGGACCCAGAAATCCGCAGTTTAACTGCTCTTTCTCATATTCGAAGTATCTGTGGCATATCCCCAAAGAAAATCTCGCTCACATGCTCAAACAGACTTGTGCAAAAATGTTCACTGATGCACTGATTGCAGTAGTAATAGTGAAAAAAACCTCAAAACCTATTAAGTGTCCCTAAGGTGGAGAATGGATGAGTATATAATGGAGTTATCATGCCCTAGAATATTATACAAAAGCTATAAATTACTGAATAACAGACTACTACAGAGCAGTTATGAATGAATTACCATTTCTCATAGAGCATATATCAGTCTGGATGCAGTTCCAAAGCAGGTTAAGTAAAAGAAAAAAATGAAATAACAGAAGAACACATGTAGGAATATACCATTTATATAAAACTTTAAAAACAGGCAAAATGACGTGGTATATGTATTTATGGGTGTGTAAGCATGGGCGAAGACATTTTTTAAACACAGGTTAATGCTCCGCACCAGAATCAGGTTTGTGGTCACCTTCTGGGTGAAGGAGGAGGAAGGTGTCATAGGAAAAGTGCCCAAGAAGTTCCATTTGTATTTGCAAAATAATCTGGAGTTGGTTATATTTGTCTCTACTTTTATACATGCATCTTATATTTCATAAATTAAAAACAAACACCCGTTTACCTTCCCCAGCTTGTTGGCTGGAATGTTCTGTATGGCTCTCGGCTCACCTGCCAGGAAGTCACCTTCACAGGTGAGCTATGACTCTGCCCTCTGTGTACCACTGTGAGTGAGCAGTTCACATCGGGTTCCACTATCTGGGGTTTCAGTGACAACTAAAAATCATTTTGAGGCTAACTTCAAACTACACATGGTCCCAATTTTAGCAAAGTCAATCAATGAAAATGTTAATTTTTGATACAAGTAGTAGAGCCTCAGTAAATGTTTAATTAAATTGAGGGAGACTCTCTACAATTTCTATCAGTTGTGGGTTACCTAGTTATACTTTAAGTAATTTGATTTTCTGAAATGAGACATATGCAGACATTTTTACATGGCTGCTACTTACACACAATGAGGTTCTCTTGGAAAATCCATCTACTATCATAATTTCAGTGTTTAAAAAATATATTAAGATTTTTCTCTTTGCAGAAGACGTTTCCTATTTTTGCTTCACACTTCAGTAGAGCTTTATGAGTTGCAAGTTTGACACCAGAATTTCCATGGCAACATATTATTCTTTTGTCATAAAAACAGGCGTGATTAAGAAGAAGTCTTTCAGAAAAAGGAGGCTTTGGTGACAGCAGCAGTTCTCTTTATAATTAAATTCATTAGTGAAAATGCTGGGTTAAGAGGGACAGGAATTTTATTGCGACAAGGACAGTTTCAACTGGGGCTTTGGAGATAGCACAAAATTAATTGCTATTAAATTGCCTTTGGTCCTGTT